GTGGCCATCCCCCCGGGGGGTGATTTCTTGCTTTCTGTCTCTCTGTCTCTCTCTGTCTGTCTGGCGAGTGCATGTGCCCTATAGCAATACCTCTCCAAACAAACAAACAAACAAACAAAAAAAACTAAGCATTCTACTCAAATAATAAATTTTTTAATTTATCATATTAAAGTACATAATACGATATAGAGTTTGCTTTGGAATACTTTGGCTACCCCTTTCTGATCTGAACATACAGATTCTGAGGAATGAAAAATTGTAAAGTATCTTAAAATATAGCATTGCCAGCTGTAGAAAGCAGTTTAATATGTAGAATGGTAACCTTATATTATGTAGATTATTGTCTTTTAATAGTTTCCTGGAAATGTGACCTGTAGATCAGTAAATAGAAATGCATTTTTCTCATTTTTTTGTTTTGTCATCCTACTGATACCTTTTTAATCCCTAAGAAATCGTGTCTCTGAAGGTGTTAATTTTGTAACTGCCTATGTATTATGTGACTTTTTCAGCAGTCAAGTATGAGACTCTCTGCAAAAACAATGTCTGTTGGGAAGAGGAAAAGTTGGAGAAGGGCGTTTGTGTTTTGTGCTATGTGGTGGGGGCAAATTGGACTATCTAGCTATGACTATCAGCAGAACTTTCTCTTTTCCTCCCTCTTTCCAGTATAGGTTAACTCTAATCTTAGCTTTGCACTGTGTTCCAGATGCGGCAGGCCAGAAGGCTGTCGAACCCTTGTATACAGAGGTATACATCAAGAACTGGTGAATGCAGCACGTATGTGGGCTCTCATGCAAACGTGCCTTCTCAGTAGAGGGCCCGGACTTACTCGCTACTTACAACTGACCCTAGAAAACTGAGTTAACCAAACTGCCTTTTGCAGTTATCATAACTGATTTTGTCAACACTAACACAAACTATTTCACTACAGTGATCAGGTTGGATAGGTGTAAAACATAAAAGGAAAAAAAAAATGCAACTTACTAATGGAGAGGGCATTAAGCTAGCTTCTAAAAATTAATTTCCTGAATTGCTGCAAGAGTTGCAGTTTCTCTGTTTTATGTATTTTAGTATTTTTAAATACTACTATGCTTAAAAATGTACCTTTGTTCTGAAAACATATGCAAACTCATGCATACTTATGCATTGGATAAACTATACCTTACCGTAGCTTACATGGTATTTTAAATCTGGTGATATTTAACTGTCTAGTAGGATTCTACAATTTTTTAGTAGTTGGTAATCCTTTGTTCTCAAAGTCACTAATATAAATGAACTGATAAAAACTGTGGATTTAAAAAATAATAAAGTATGTACCCTTTGCTACCTTTAAAATCTGAAGCCAAATGAGTGTATGACATATTGAAAACAAAGCAAAAAAACGATGCTAGTATTACTTGCAGTGTAATTCAGGGAAGCAAAAACTAAGTTTTGTCAGATTGCCTGGCAAAATGTTTGGAAAATGTTGATTCCCATTTGTTAAAGGAATATGGCCTTTCATTTTTATATCCTGCATTCCATTTTTTATTTTTCTAAAATACATGGGATAATTTTAATGTTGATCAAGAATTTACTGTTAAATAAAATGATATCACTGGTAGGCTCCCTCTTAAACACAGTTCAGTTGCTTTTGGAACACCATATTCCAGTTTCAGCTGCTTGAGTCTTGAAATTAAAAGCCGCCAGATTCAGCTCTGGCGACAGAACTGGTTTCTTAGTGGAAGTGGTTGTTGGCTGTCGTTGCTTTAAACTCACCTCTAAAAGTGCATTGCATTGGGAAAGAACTCGCACATTTATGCTGCATGGCTCATGCTCCTGCTTTGTGTGTATGTGTGTGTGTTCGTGTTCTTTGTTTTTCAGAGAATCAAGTCTCACACTGAGTTACTAACCTTGTTTTTAATAATTGGCTGAATCTGACCACCATTCCTTTTTACAGGAGCATTCCAACTGTTCTTCAGAATCCAAATACGCTTTCCGTCCTGCCAGCACAGCAGCCGCCACCTCACATTCCACAGCCTCTCGCAGCAACTCTCTGGTCTCAAGCTTTACCATGGAGAAGCGAGGATTTTACGAATCTATTGCCAAGGTCAAGCCAGGGAACTTCAAGGTCCAGACTGTCTCTCCAAGAGAACCAGCTTCCAAAGTGACTGAACAAGCTCTGCTGAAACCTCAAAGTAAAAATGGCCCTCAGGAAAAAGATTGTGACCCAGTGGACTTGGACGATGCGAGCCTTCCTGTCAGTGACGTGTAAGATGGAAGCATGCAGAGCCTGCCCCACCTCATCCATCCCTCTGTTTCCTTTCATGAGGCTTCTAGCCAAAGATGATAAAGGGTGAAATGGTTTTTAAGGCATATATTATACTGCCTCTTAGATGTACTCTTTATAAGCTGGTAAACCAAGAATCTAGGGAGTGGCCAAACTAAATAGAATTTCTTTAAAAAAAAAAATGAGAAAGAAAAAAACCTAAGTGTCTCAGTATCAACAGTCTGAACTTTTGTGTATTCTCATTTGATGGTAAAAATGTGTGTGCTTGTGTGTGTGTGTGTGTGTGTGTGTGTATGTAAGTGTGGTTTTTTTTTCCTAGTGACTTTGACAGTTTAAATGTTTTAACAACTTAAAACATTAAAAATGCTTATTAATTATTTTGATTGTTTTAAAAATGCTACTAGACTTCCTATTAAATGTTCAATATTTACACATTCTTATTGGTTAATATTCTCAAGTGAAATATTGCCAGATTAAGATACCTAAACTCATGATGTCTGTGGTGCTTTAAAATTTATACTACAATGTGGACTCTTTTTAAATTGTAACAATTTTTGATGCCCTGGATCTCAAGGTGAGTGTCAAGTTATGTGTAGAAGATAGATACTGTTAGGCCATTGGTGAGCATTGTCAGCTGTAGTGGAGTAGAGAAAAGGGGGAAGTTAGAATTCAGACAGCTGTGTCTTAGACATTTGTTTGAGAAAGCTTAGAGAAAGCTTAATCAGGACCTGGAGCAGTCAGTGCTTTTTATTCAGAGAAAATTATTTGGTAGGAAATTTTGGAGGGATCTGATTTTCTTATCAGAGTTTTATAAATCTTATTTCTATATTTGAATCAGTGAAAGACCTCAAATTTATATGTAAAGACATAACTGCCCTCAGTCATGAAATTATTGTGGCCTCTACTTTTTGTCACTAATAACCTATATTCAAGTGCCTGTGTTTTTTCATCTTGTTTAGGAATATTTTGAGATGTGCTTGAAAGACCTATGTAATTGGTTTTAAACATTGGGGTAAAATTAATTATCAGTAGCATAGTTTTAATGTGTTAAAATAAGATAGCATTTTATGTTATAGATACCAGAATGCTGGTATTATGCAACTTGTGCAATATATATGTTTTAAACAAAATTGAATATACATTTAATCATGGGATATTATAAATACAAGCACCTCTCTAAAAAAATCCTTAATTTCAGGTGTTGAATCATAGACCAGTTTGAGCAAGTACCGTTTTTGCGGTTTAGTCTTAAACGTTTGCTTTAAGAAAAAACAGTCTTGAATTTCACATGCTGCTATTTTTATATTTTGCAATTTTACAGTACTGTTTTGTTTTGAACTCATATGTATCATGCATATTATTGTTTCTCCTTTTCATGTTCTAAGATGACTTCTTATTATTGAGAGAGAAGAGAGAGAAATTTCCTACTACAGTGGTGGGGGTCCAGAGGTTAAGTATATTATACTAGAATTGTATAATACCAGTTTAAAATCCATATACAGAAAAAATGCACCACTCAACTTTTTTATTCATAAGCTAATATTTTTAAAAAGTTATATTTAGATTTTTTTCTCTTTTGCAGCTACATTTGAAAATGATAGAATGAAAAGGTTTAAGTAGTTATCACTTTTTCAGCTGGTATATCCATTATAGTGGCTCTTTTGAAAGCTTCTTTTTTCATGAACATACCTAAGAAATCTTGTATAGACCCTTAGCAATATTGAAGAGCCTAATGGTTTTCTTTGGTACAACTTCCACATTGCATGTTCATTTTAGCATATTTTGGTATTGGCAATTTGATATATTTCATGGTGGCAAAATATTAGCTCTATTTTGGGACTTTTTAATAGAACTACCCTATTGAGTAGCATAGGAAACTGTTCTTGTGATTGTCAGGATCTCCTAATATTTATCTCAATTCTTTTATAAGTCTACGGAAATTATTTAATTATTTTAACACACTTTTCTTGTAAATATGTCACCTCTGAATTGTCAAAAAATTACTTTGAATACCTTAATATTTGCTGCATTTTTTTCTGTATATATAACATGTCTTCTTTCACAGTGGGAAAATGTGCGTGCCTCCCAATGTTTACTGTTACGTCTGTTATCTTTATATGTCAAACTGGTTGAACACTGTAATGACCTAAGAATAAACTGCTCAGAATTAATTCTAACTTATTTTTCATTTTGTTTGGTTCAACTCTTATGTGGACAAGTAGATAGAAATAGCATAGGAAGTGGGTAATTGACTTGATGTACATATTTAAGGACAGAGTAATTATTTGACAATCTTTGCAAGAATGAGAAACTTCAGATCTGTGAAAAAGCATGGTTTGGTATAAAAATGTGTATGGAAAGGATTTTTTTTAAAAATCTGCTTACTTGCTTAATTCAAAAGCATGTTTTCTGGGACCAGCAGGTGACGTAATGGTTATGTCACTGGATTCCCACATAGTCAACCGTTGTTCAGGTCTCAAATCTGGCAACTTAAAACTCACACCAGGCGCGTGTATGGGAGTGCCCAAAATCCCAAGAGGAGAAGGGATTGTGGTGTGGCCATCTTCCCCCACCCCAGGGGGGTGATTTTTGCTTTCTGTTTCTGTCTCTCTGGTGAGCACATAAGCCCTATAGCAAAAATATTTATTTTAGTGAATTAAAAAAGAAAAGAAAAAGAAAAGCATGTTTTCAAAAAGCAAAAATTAAGTAAGTCAACTTCAGAGCACAGTTGTAATCATCTGGGCTGTTCACCGTTCTTAGTTATTAGTTAGGCTGGACCTTAACTAAGACTGAATGCAGGAGACATTTTGATACCCAGGTGGTATTGCATTGCACTCACAATAAACTTCACATGGAGACTCACAGATTATGTGGTGGTTGAGGCACTGGACTACCACATGGCCAACTATGGTTTGAAACCTGGACTGAGTGGTTTGAAAATCACACGAGTACGTGTGTATGCCCAAAATCCTGAGAGGAGAATGGAGAAGAAGGGATTGTGGTGTAGCCATATCCCCCAGGGGCTGATTTCTGATTTTTTTCTTTGGTATTGCATGCGTCCTATGGCCAAAACCCAAAACAAACACATCCAACGTTAGAGGCTACTGCTTGCAAACTTTCCCTGCTGACGGTACACACACTATGCCTGCTATGGTGAACGCTGTATGTCCAGAACCTAACACAGTGCCTGGTACACTGGGAAAGCTAAAAACTTATTGAATGAATGAGGACAGGGCACTAATACAGAATGTATGTATTTTAGTACATTGAAATATAAATGTTTCTTTTGAAATTCTGGAGTATTCACTCTACAAAGAAACCTTCAATGATTTTAGATGTCTTCTTTTGCTCCTTGTGTTGAGTCCATTGTAAGTCCTGCTGCTATAGCTTTATACCTTGCACTCTCAAATGCCGTCAGAATGACTTTGGGGACCAGCAGATGGCATAATGGTTACTTTGCTGGACTCCCCCAATGACTGACCACTGTTCCAGTCTCGGACCTGGTGGCTTGAAATTCATGCTGGGTGCATGTGCCCAAAATCCCAAGCGTGTGTGCCCAAAATCCCAAGAAGGAGAATGGAGGAGAAGGAGTCGTGGCATGGCCATCCCTTCACGGGGGTGGGGGAATTATTTCTCACTTTCTGTCTCTTGTCTCTTTGGCAAATGCACACAGCAAAAATCTCTCTCAAAATAAACAAACAAAAACTTGAGACCTCAAACAATAAAACTACTGATGGACAACACTGGGGAAACTCTGGGAGATACAGGGATAGGCAAAGACTTCTTAAATAAGACCCCCAAAGCACAGGCAATAATCCCAAAAATAGACAAATGGGATTACATCAGATTAAGTTTCTGCACAGTAAAAGACACAGTAATTAGTGTGAATCCACAACTCTCAGAAGATTGAGACCTCAAACAATAAAACTACTGATGGACAACACTGGGGAAACTCTGGGAGATACAGGGATAGGCAAAGACTTCTTAAATAAGACCCCCAAAGCACAGGCAATAATCCCAAAAATAGACAAATGGGATTACATCAGATTAAGTTTCTGCACAGTAAAAGACACAGTAATTAGTGTGAATCCACAACTCTCAGAAGAGGAGAATATGTGAATCCACAACTCTCAGAATAGGAGAATATGCCACAGATAAGGGACTGATAACGAGAATAAACAAAATTCAAGCAGCTTACTTGAAGAAAAAATTGTTAACTCAAAAGATGGGAAAATGAGCTGAACAAAAAACTCTAAGGAAGACATACGAATAGCCAAAAAGCATATGAAAAAATGCTCAACATCCCTCATCATGAAGGAAATGCAGATTAAAACCACAATGAGATACTACCTAACCTCTGTTAGAATGGTGAAGATTAAAAATGTAAAAAATGATGTGTTGGCAGGGTTGTGGTGAAATGGGAACTCTCCTACACTGCTGGTAGGAATGTCAATTGGTCCAGCCACTGTGGAAAACAATATGGACGTTCCTCAAAGACCTACAAATAGAGCTACCATATGATCCAGCAATCCCACTCCTGGGTATCTACCCAAAGGACAGGAGAATCTCAGTTGGAAAAGCACTTGCACATTAATGTTTATTGTGGCATTATTCGTGATTGCTAAAATGTGGAACCAACCCAAATGTCCACGAACAGATGAATGGATTGAAAAAATGTGGCACGTATACTCTATGGGATATTATTCAGCCATAAGAAAACAAGACCCTGGCATTTGATAGGAAGTAGACGAATATGGAAGATTTGTTGCTGAGTGAAGCAAGCCGGTTATGAAAGAGAGATGTCGTGTGTCTCCTTTAGCATTAGTGGATAGAAATTGAGACCCCTGGAAGTAAGAAGGATGGCATTGGCCCAAGGGTCAAATTAGCAACAAAGCTGAAACTCTTGATTTCTCTATTTCATATACCCACTGTCTTCACCCTGTGATAAAGACTGAGAGATTGGAGGCATAAATGCATTGAAAATAGTTATGGATACTGGAGAGAGTGTGGAAAGGAGGGCAGGGGAGGGCAAGAGTGGAAAGGAAATTAGGGAGAAAAAATAAGACATCCGTGGGACACAGAAATGGTTTATTACCTGTTAAAGATAATGTGTATAATATTTTCAACTGGACTGGTCTAAGGTGTATTTCATCTTGAGTAAATTCTTTTTAAGCTAAATGATGTATAGTGATCCAATGTGTGTGTTTTCTATATATATAAACTTCGAGCTAGTGTCTACTATCATTTATTCATGTCTTTTTAGGGTTCCCCTGGTACCACCTGGTCCTGCCATTGCTTAGGGCAAACATCAAAGTGGACATCTCGATCTGTTGTTTTTTCACAATAGCTGAGTGACTTCTTAACAGATCAGATAGTCCAAGCCCTGCCATCAGCACTAGTGGATAGAAATTGAGACCTCTTGAAGGGAGAAGGTTGCATTAGCCCAAGGGTCAAAGCTGGAACTCTTGATTTCTCACTGTACTGTAGAACATAATTAGAATATTTCCCCTTGACTTGACTAGAGTAACCAAGCCACATATACTAGGTAGCTTCTTAATATCCCATGGGAGTTCTTTCCCTCTTCTCTCAAACATATTCACTTAGTGTTTTACTCTCTTTCTCTCAGTTTTTCTTTTTCCTAAGGCCACTTGTCTGAAATGCCCTTTTCGTCTTAGATCCTCAGTTCTCTTTTCATTCAAATGACTTGGAAGAGCAGTTTAATTGCTCAGTATGTATGTCCTAATTTGCCCCTCCTGCATGAGCACATACTTGCCCTGGGATACAGAAACCTTGAGGTTTGGGTCGGTGTGTTTCATCTGTTAGTTTTTCTATGGTTTCTTTTACACCATAGATATTTTATGTGTGACACCCCTATTTTCAGTATGTTCAACCTTACAAAAGCAGGAATATTTAATATTAGTACTACTTAGGGAGAGCTTTAATTATTTCAAGACTTGTTGGGTTTAGCAAGTGAGGTTTAATTTTTTTATTAGGTTCTGCCATTCATTTATTTCTCTAAAAGTTGGAGATTTTTTTTTTGTTAAAAGTGCCATTGGCCTTGTGGTAGCACAATCTCTGTCATGCTGGAAGTCATATGGAAGATAGGGGCTTTTCAACTTATAGATGCTAGGCATGTGATCCTATCTGGCTGGGAAAGGCAGGGAGGATTGCAATGTGAGACCCTATTGAGACTGCTGCTTTCTTTCTCTTTTACTCAATAGAGAATTTTTTTTTCTCTCTTTTTTTTTTTTTTGAAGAGGTTTTTTTTTTTTTTTTTTTTTTTTTGCTATAGGGCGCG